TTCACTTTAAACTTACTTCTAAAAATTTCCTTCTCTGCCTATCCTATTTACCCACCTCACAAAACTCTATAACCACCGTTTTTGCAGCACAAAATACTGGGACTGGGAGTATATGAGTGGGGCTACATAAGCTACTTTTGCCGTTTTTTTCTAATTACGAGAAGGGCACTTATATGAGGTTTGGTAGTACTGCACCGATAGTGCTCTAATGACGTAAGTTACCATGCGACCCAAGGCAAAACGTTTGAGACATGACGTCTCGACGGGGTTCGCGTCAGACACAGATGCAAATCACTTCGGCGATTCCGACTAAACTCATTATCAGTATTTTAAAAACAAAGATTTTATCAGAAAACGAACAACTGAAGAGAAGAGCAACTTGATTCAGCGCAGGTATAATTACCAAACGTGTTTTAGGAATAGCAGCATACGTACGTATTTGTGACGTCGAAGCTTACCACCCAATGACTTAATACTTGGCCCCTTGAGCTAGGGGTTTATGTACACTGGCTCCCCTTAACTAATTATTTGGAGCATTAACAATTATTTTGGAGTTGGTACGTACTGTTTGGAGGCGGGCTCACATGGACTAAGGCAAATCAAATCACTGACGGAAAGCATGCAATAGCAGAAAAAAAACGTTTTTTCGTAAAATGGTCCCAAAATATTAATTATTGGGAAGGATATCCGTTTTCAAATATTTCTTGTAGGAATCGCTTTAAACCTGAACAGCTTTTTGGTAGTTCTAGCTTGCAGGATTACACTCATTTACAAATATATTACCGGGAAAATTCTGAATTTTCCAGCGTTTCATGCTGCTGAGTCAATTTTCGTATCCCTGCTTTTCTGCGGACGCAGATATTCGAGGAGCCCAGCAAAAAGAATATGCCCGTTTGGAAATGCACTTTCAACAGTTTTCTCTTCCTGCATACCCTTCTCCAGCTTTAATTCGTCTTGCGGCCGTGTCATTAAAGGACCACACGCACGGATTACCTGGCATGACATGCAAATACCCCCCGAGAACGACAAGCTATGTTGACAGAGCATATGCCCCAAAGTCAGCCTATACAAACGAACGTTTTCGATTAATTCATCATCAGACAATGCAATAATATAAGGGAGGATAGAGTTAACGAAAGTTTAAGCAGCTAATCAGTAGTAATTAGGGGGTTAAGTGGGCAAAGGTGTCAAGGGATCAATAGGGTCAAATTCGAGTCTTAATTGGAGACCATATAGGGAAAAGTGTGGGGGAAGATGGGAAGAGAAGGGGTCCGACAATTAATTCGTGTCGTCCCATCGTCCTTGGCTCGCATTTTGTTGGGAGGTGGGAGGACGCAAGGTGTCTTCGTCTTGTGACGGCGTGAGTGGCCTGGAGATGCTTGCTATCGGCACCTCCTCATTATTTCGCGGCGTGGTATGAAGCGTGGGAGCGGATATTGAAATAACCTTCGGCCACGTGAGCCTTAAGGTCGTTACAAAAGTCTTCTGTGCACACAAGATTGGCTTAATGAGGCTGCTGATTGGTTGCTTAAAATTTCGTCAACTCTATCCTCCCTTATATTGTTATATTGCCTGACAATTAATTAATCGAAGACGTTCGTTCGCCTAACAAAACTATAATATCTAAAAAATGCAAAGGCTATGAAGAAGTTGCCACCGTCTGACTCTCAGTTGACTAAACATGCAACACGCACTGGGCTGATGGCGTGGTCTGGTATACGTGTCAGTTAGTAGTCTTCCAAGCCATATTAAATCGTGATAGTGTCAGGCTCGGACACACAAAGTGCAGAGGCGTCGTTTTTAGAAGGGGCTGAAAATCAGGTAACCAAGTTAAGCTGTACGCTAACAAAGTAAGTGCGTACCCTGTTTCCGCAATGTAGTACTTACTTCTCCAAAAACGAACCCTTATGATTCTTTTTCTATGCGGTGCTTCCGTGAACCAGGCTTAGGCAACAAAGGCAAAGGACAACTTGAGGCGGCTTCAACCAACCTCACGCAAAAAGACTAACCCTACATCTATTCCACTAAAACTGACGTTTTGCAAGAAGTCATTCCTACGTCAAATTTAATAATCGTGTGTGAGATAGGATTTATGTTGTTTGCAAATAAACGGTCAAACTATCCACTTGATGTTTTATTTGAGTTTCCGGGAAGTACTCCTTCGAAGTAGTTTGGCAGTAGAACCCCTTGGATCCCCTTACACCTCTCCCCCCTTATCTCCCCTAATTACTACTGATTGTTTACTTCAGCTTTTGTTAACCCTACCCTCCCTTAAATAAGTGTATTGCCTGATGATGAATTAATCGAAATCGTTCGTTCGCCTAACTTGACTTCTAAATGCTTGCATGAGTTTATTCGCTGAACTATACAAACGATTTGCGCAGCCTCATACTGACTGCGTAAAAGGCTTGGTTAATTATGCCTATCCAGAAACTTGGAAAATTATTTTATTAGACATCTCCCTCTCTCTCATGTTCATCATTTGGTATAACCAATTGCCTTCTGCCCTCAGCTCTACCTGACCCACCTGCATGGTTGGACGTTCGACCAATTGGCGGCACCTACGCGGTTCTTCGATGGAAGTCCGAAAAGGCCAGCGAGATTGAATCCTACACGCTGACAGTGGAAAGCAAAGACAATAACCTCGGCGCCCTGGGTCAACGCCAAATCACCAACATCAACGTACTGGAGAACCCCTCGGATGAGAAGGATCAGCGTTTTGTTAGTTACAATCTCACGGATCTCAGTCCCTATACAGCCTACACGGCCCGAGTGCAAGCGGTCAATAAGAAGGTCGGCCTCTCACCACCCAGTGATCCGATTGAATTTAAGACCGCGGAAATCCGTAAGTGTATCTACCTTTGTTTTCTTATTACGTTAATGTGACCTTCACTTGGGTT